CAACCAGGGAAGTCCCAGTCGCCTTTATTCTTCAAAGGTGTCCATCACCCTTCAATACATCGCTCGTACATTTAATCACATTTGACATCTGTTTCTGGAAGACCTAACACTAGAAACTGAAAGGAAAATGTGTGTACAGATTTAAAAATTTCTCTAAGTTGAACGTGTCAGGTAAGGATATACAGCAGTGTTTTGAAAACAGACTACAAAGCCTTTGGATTTTATATATGAGGTTTTAATTAATAAGAAATGAAAATGTATTCAGATCAATTTATTTGAACTCACATCCAAGAAGAAACATTCAACTTCAGGATTAGAAATAAAAAGGGAAACACTCTACTTCTTTTTAGGTAAGGGATGGATCATACAAGCCTGATTGATGAGTACTAACAGCTTTGTGAAGTTACTACTTAAACTCTGTATATTCAAGTATATATCTAGTTCATACTTGGTTTATACAGAATTTACCCAATTCTAGCAAAGTCAGCATAATTTAAGTAAACCTCCTTGAGTTTTATACTCAAGTCTGAAAGCTTAAATTTTATTATAACTATGCCAAAAGTGATTATCTTTACTTCCTGCAAATGTAATCAACTTTTAAAATAACTTAGGCAAACATTAATTTTACATAAACCTTATTAAGAGTAGGAGGAAATTGCAACTGTTCATCTAACTGCAGAATCTAAACCATAAATTCAAATTGTACCATTATCTTTATTGTCAAATCAAGTCAAGGCCTTTATAGACTAAAAGAAATGAATGTGAATCTGCAGGGTTCTCTAAAGGGATACTTTGAAAACCTGTCATCACATTAGTACTTAACAGCTATACAGAAATATTTTCAAGTATGCTCCAAGGGTCACCTCTTAACTAAAGAATTAACCTGCAGGAAGTCAAGTGACATATATTATCATCTATATTTTATGTGCTAGGAAATTAAAGGTATAGAATTGAGTAATGTATTCAAAATTAAAAAGTAAAAGACTGTCTTTATCTAAAATAGGAGTCATGTGCCTTAATTTCCTCATCATTGGATTATATCCATTAGTCTACATTTTTATTTATAAGCATACAGTTACTTCCCTTTGTCTCCAGTATCTTCATGTGTTAATAGTACAGACTCTTGTAGTGTTGCTCATTTCTAGTAGACCATTAAAAGAGAAAAACCCCTTGTGCTTTCTGTCCATTCTTTAGAAGTAAAAATGAATGTAAAACTGTTTATGTAAAATGAAGATTGTAAACAATTTTTTTCCAAAGTAGAAACAATCTGCTTGACTTAAAATCTTTTATTCATTTGGGCATTAAATTACCTAACACACAATCTACTTTACATTTAAACAGTGTTGCCCTTGTGTTGCCTCAAGGAATGTTATATAATTAAGTCTACTTCCTGTGAGATTTCCTCTGCCAAAATCAATGTATCATCTATCTGACTCTGATTATAGCTAAAAGTGACAAAAAAGATTTTTAATGAAAACTAAGAGTCTAAGAGTTAGGTCTCAAGATTTTCGTTTCATAGGAAGGAAGCTCTCTATTACATGGATCTATAAAATGATCCAAATTTCAGAGAGACAGGAAGCTGATAACTTGATTTATCTTCTTAATGGCTGTGACTCATGAATAAATGATAATGGTTTTTCTTATAAAAAGAAATGGAATTTGTATAATGAAGAATTCTATTTGCCACATTTGCTCTACTTTTTAAAAAGGATTTCTAATTACTTAAGACATTCTTTATATTATTTACAATAAGAAGTCAAAACTTTAACTGAAAGCCATTTTTTGACCACAGTTTGCCATTAGCTGAAATTCAGGAAAGAACACAAGTCTGATCACCAAATCAATAAATCTAGCCACAGGCTGACTAAAAGCTTCCTTTAATCTTCTTCCTATTAGGTCTTCCTTTAAATTAAACCATTCCATGAATTATTTAAGTGAATGGCACGGTTATAGAAAGATCAGATATAATTCGTACAAAAATGCTCAGGTAACCTAAAAAAAATCCATTCAGCATGTTTCAGGAAGTACAGTATGAATCAAGATGCTATAGCTTAAAAAAAGGGGAGGTGGGCTTGGGGGTACTCTTGAAAGCTTCAGAGAGAATTAGAAAAATCAAGTTTATTTCCTGGTTAGTGCAGGATGATTCCCAAAGCGCATTTAAGTGTCTGGTCCAGACTAGCTATTAGCGATTAAGTAGTTCCCTTTCACTGTCAAGGCTTTCCCCTGAGGTGATGCCTAAATTCTTAATTTTAATATTTTATCTTGTTTCTTTTACCCCCATCCTCTCTCATCAGTAAGCACTACATTTCCACCATGCTGAATGCTTTCTCGACTCTGAAATTTACACACACTTTTCAAATGCTCAGTGTTCAACTTAGCTACAAAATTTATATTTATACATCTCCCCACATTGTTCCTCTCAAAATTTATACTCATTTACTTACGCATAATTCCAGTAAGTATATTTTTAATGAGTTAAGTTTCTGAATGCTGAATACTCTTTCAAATGTGTCCTCAAAAGTCACTGAGAAAGACTTAACCTTTCTAAATTCCAGTCTCTTCATGCTCTAAAGAATTCTTACTCTTCTTTTTCCTTCACAGTAATCAATTCCCTTCTCAAATCTTACATTTCTACTTTCCCGATTTCTTTTCACTGTAGCAAATACCAAAGGAAAAAATACAAATCGTTTCAGAGTAAATGAGTCTCTTTCCTGCTCTCATTTATTAGATCATCTACTTCAAGGCTATATAAATGGCAGTATTTTGAAAATGTTAATAGCTATCAATACCTTGAAGTTGAAAAAATAAGAAAGCCAGAGAAAATATATCACAAGCAACCAGTTTGAATATATGAAAGGCTACTTAGTTCTTGATTTTCATATAAATACTAATTTTTACCATTATAAAAGACAGCATATTTTCTTCTTTATAAAATTACCTTTAACAGAATATTTATTAGCTAATCATTCCTTAGGTTTTCTGTATTGATAAAAAGTTATCTTTAAAAGAAAAATATTTAAAACAATATTGTTTCATAGAAACAGAAAGTCTTAATATCAAATTCTGATAAAAAACTATAATTATGGGTAGAGTCTAACCATACTGTTAATTTTCTTCACCAAAGATGGATGTTTAGGAAGCGTTATATTGGTAAATAAGATAAGCTTCTCAGTGATCTACAAAAGCGCCACAATAAAGATGAGGTAGTATGAGACTGTCCAACTTTTGTAAAAGGGAAATATCATCTTTAGAAGAGATATTTATCCTGACACTGATGTTGCTATCCTGAGCCTCATCACTGCTGAGAGGTGCTATTTTAGTAGCTAACCCTCACTGGAACCAAGACAATCTTGAGATCACTTGAGAAAAAAAGATGCTAGAAGATAATGGTAACAGATTTTTTTGTTCGATTTTGTGATAACTCCTAAAAACTTATTTTAAAACAATTAATTTTAAATGCCATCTTTATGTTAACAGCAGAACTGTAGGAAAGGGAAATGCTACAACATAAAAGCAATACTTAAGAAACATCTATTCTAACTGGGAAATTTGAGTCAAATTTTTTTTCAATCCAGGTAGAAACAGCTTCCTACTAGAGCTAAACTAGCATCAAGAGATCAATTTACTATATTAAAAATGCTAATTTGTACAAAGGGGTAGACAACTCACCAGAAAAAATAACTGTCTAGGAAATTTATTATTTATTGATTCTTTAAAAAAGAAAAGTTGAATAGGCTATCATTGCATTTATCTTATTATATTGGGATAATGTTTTCTAAAAAATGCTTCTCTGTTCTTGAGATGCTAAACTTAAAATATTATACCCAGTGCTCAGTATTGTTCAGTATGGCATAAGCGATATAGCTCTCAAAATGTTCTCCTTTTTCTGAAGCCATACTAAAGATATGTTAGTTCTGAAAATAGGAATAGTTACCTGAAATCTGAAGATCAAAACCAGTATTAAGTTCCCTGAATACTGAGCTCCATGTTTACTTCTTGAATCTTTATTCAAGCTCAATTCAAAATAATGGAAAACTACTTAGGTCTCTTTGGTTACCAATGGAAATTTGTGGCTGTTTATAAACTGTGGCATCTCTCCAAAGTAACAGGTTCAGTTTCTAAAAAAGAGCTAAGCAGAAGCAACAGTTCACAAGTAAATACAGAAAAAAAACCCAGCTGCTTTATTATTTAGTAATTACTAGTTACTAATAGTATTATCATTATTTTTAAAGCTTCCAGTGAGAAGGGAAGAATACTTATGTCCTGAAGATGGTAACTCTTCCAAGTCTGAGAGAAAGATCTATTCAAGGAATAATAAATGACCATGCCACATTACAGAAGAATTCACCTCTAAGATATCATGTCCTCATTTGATTCTTACTGACCTGATTAATCAAATTGAGTAATTCAGCTTTACAATTAATATTTAAAATGAAAACACATCAAGTTTGATTTTAAGCCATTTTGTTAACTTTAACATCCCTATTAGTAAATTACAACACACACAGCTTTACTGAAGGCTTTTAAAACAAACGAAAGGATGATGTGGAAACTATATCTTATGTATAGGAATGCCAATGACATAGGTTAACAAAGCGTTTTATACGTTATATGTAGGAAAAGAAACAATTATTTTTAAAGAAAAGTATGAAATACAGATTATTTAAATGTGTTTGCAATGCCTACAAACTTCAAATATCCCTGGATCATATTTAAGTTACAATTAAGAAAAGAAAAAAATTAAGTATACAACCTACATGGTAAAAACAAAAACCAAACCTGGTCAAAAATATCCATTAACCCCTAGTGTGTAACAATTATTACTGTTCAACAATTACTGTATCCTAAGAAAAATAAACTGATCTGGAAGTAAAATTTAGGGCAGAGGTTTATTTTGGACTTCAACTGCCCTTGTAGAAAAATTCAAAGTGGTATAATAAGAAAAATAAAATATTAAATGAAAATACATATATAACCACTCCCTTGTTCCTACCCTTTTTCTAGCATTGCTGTTCTGGTGCATCAATCCTGAGTACTCTAACTTTTGACTTATAGTGATATTCCTTCAGATATAATTTCATGGAAGAAGGAATTGGAAGGGCATCAATGCCATCGTAAGTTGTACAGTTACAAATAACTGTTCTGCATATATGCTGCAGGGAAAAGGGGAAAGTCCGAATTAAAGGAGTGGATAAAAGTGGTTCGAAGAACATACAGGCACTCGGGTCCTTATAATGCTCTAGGAGCCCAGTAATGTCAGGTGAATGGAAGACACAAGGATCATGTGCATCAAAGCTAAAGTTGTGATTCCACTGTTCAATTCTAGCATGAAGAGAACGACTATAGCGTCTAAAACTAACGGAGAATAAATAGTCTTCCTGTGCTGAATCTCGCAGTAAAAAGGTGCCCTCTGGTTTTCCTTCTAGTAGAGCTTCAGCTGCGTATTTATCCATAACGCCCCAGTAACATGGATTATTATTGATCTGAAGGAGGTCTGGTACAAGACAGTGGACATAATCAATCTGAGTATGGTACTTGGGAGGTGTTTCCAGTTGCAGGATTTCTTCATCAATTTCCCATTTGGGTTTGTTTCTTTTCCGGGAACTTGTGCAAAGTGTTATAATTTCATCATCTGAATCCATATCACTATCTTCTATGCTGTTATTTGAAGCCAGGTTCACTACAGAGTCAGTCCCAGGATCACCTCTACCTGAAGAATTGTTACTGGTTATGACACAGGGCTGAACACTGGTATGTGAGAAGCAGCTGACCTCTTCCATGTTTCTTCGTTGTTTTAGTTGACCATCCCTCAATTCGCTCTGAGACAAGTCTGTGCTTACCCATTCATCTGATTTGGGACTTATAGGAGCAGTGTGTCGTTTAATAAAATGCCACCTAAAGGCTAAATCTGATCGAGGTGGGAAAGGACACTTATCTAACATGAGTTCACTGATATGAATTTTTCTTTTAGATGGAAGCCCTGAAGAGTGCCGACTACTACAATTCTTTATTGGAAAACACTGCCCCACAGCATCTTGCAGTTTCTGTTTAAGAGATCGGCCTAAAAATCTATGCCCACAGGAATGATCTAAATCCAATTCGATAGATGAACAGCTGTGCTTCCTTTCTTGGCTCCTTAAAGGAACTTCACTTTTTTCTATAGCACTCACTGTTTCAGCATCTGAACAACTTTCACTCTTTTTTGACCAAGATAACTTCTTTCCACTCCACACATAACCATCCTTTCTGTCAGCACTTCGACTCCGGGTAGTTTTGGGCCTTACATCTACGTTTTTACTATTACTTTCACTATTTTCTGCCATTTTAACAAATTGTCCACAAATTCCAGTGTTATAAATGATGCTTTTTCTGTTTTTCCAGTAGAATGTTTCTTCTGGGTACTTTCTGGATGTATCTAAGGGGAAAAAAAAAGATCATTAATTGTCTGTCATTAACATTGCATATTTTTTGTATCAAGTCCCAACTATAGACAAGATGAAAAGGTGAAAAGGGATAATACACTTTTTGTTTTTTTTTAATTTATTTATTTTAATTGGAGGCTAATTACAATATTGTAGTGGGTTTTGCTATAGATAATTAATATACTTTTTAAAAAAGTACTGGAAATGTTGGAAGGCAGTTCCAAGATATTTTGTTCTCATTTAAATAAACTACTTTACCATATACTAATAATTCCATAGTGCCATTGAGTCAAGAATCTGAGTTTCTTTCCCACAGCTAGTTGTCAATGTGAATCAAAAAAGTTAAGCATCCTGTCAGCCAAAATAAATGTCTGAAATGTGAACAATTTCTGGTTTATTTTTTAATTTCACAGCAGACCAGGGAATTCTTTGTCAGAGATGAGAAAACTATGAGCTGGTATTTAATGACCGCTACCCTCCTTCTGGGTTCGATCCCTGGGTTGGGAAGATCCCTTGGGGAAGGGAAAGGCTACCCACTCCAGTATTCTGGCCTGGAGAATTCCATGGACTCTACAGTCCATGGGACTGCAGAGTCGGACATGACTGAGCAACTTTCACTTTCATCCTCCTCCTTGCAGGCTTCCTCAGTGGCTCAGTGGTAAAGAATCTTTCTGCAATGCAGGAGACATGGGTTTGATCCCTGGGTCAGGAAGATCCCCTGGAGAAGGAAATGGCAACCTGCTTCAGTATTCTTGCTGGGAAATCCCACAGACAGAGGAAGCTGGCGGGCTATAGCCCACAGAATCACAAGAGTCAGACATGACTGACCTAGTGACTAAACAACAACAACCTTCCTTCTCTCTCGTTTTCTTTTCTACTGATTGAAAATGTGAACAATTTTAAGTTATAAAAGCTGTTAAGAATTTATTAAATACATAATCAGCACCGAACAGTAGAAACGTCATGCAAGAATTCCCAATGTAATTTTTGTTATTTTACGCACACACATACACACACAAACTTATATTCTTCCTGATAATTTCAAAAAAACAAGCAGATAAAGTAAATTTGAGAGCTACCAGAATCCATTTTCATAGCAGTAGAGTTTGAAATAAGCATCTCAAGTGGCAAATATGACTGGAATGTGCTTAAAGGTATGAACTAATGATACAGGCTTGCCACATAAAGTTGTTGCTGTTGTTTAGTCGCTAAGTTGTGTCTTACTCTTTGCAACTCCATGGACTGTAGCCTGGTATGGTATTTTCCAGGCGAGAATACTGGAGTGGGTTGCCATTTTCTTGATCAGGGGATCTTCCTGACCTAGGGATTGAACCCGCACCTCCTGCACTGGCAGGCAGATTCTTTACCACTGAGTCACCAGGGAAGCCCTTGCCATATAAAGTACCTGATTACTAAACAAAGAATAGCATCAGGTGATTATACTTATTATTTTGATTTAGTGAGCTCATTGGTACATAATCATTTAAAATTCACAGAGAAAAAATATTTTAAAATCTAAACTTGAAAGAAACATCATCACTTAGTATATCAAATTATATTTAACAGTATGCTTTGGTTGTTCATTGACTAAATTCCACTGAACAAAAATAAACAGGCAGAAGCTATAGAGTAGGCTGAAGAATATGAAGTCATTGGTCAGAAGAGTCTCTTATTACTGAGAGCTTACACTTAACACTTTTCAAGATTAAAAAAATTAAATAGGAGCCCCAAGCAGATTTTTTTTTGTTAATATTACATACTTTCAACTTTTTTATTTAGTGTGATAATGTGAGAAGTATATTATCTAAGATTTAAAATACCTAGTGTTTTTATTTACTTTAAAAATATCAAAAGAGCAGATTATTAATTCTAAGGTCAACTTTACTCCACTGCATATAAGCGTGCTCATCTTCCTTTATTTGTTATCAGACCTAATTCCACACCTTTGCTCTTGATGAGTCCCACCTTTACCAGGGTCTGCTTCCATCACTCTCTTCAAAAACAACCAAGTCTCCTATAAACTCTTCTAGTGATTCCAACACTTTCTTTAGTTATAATTGCTGCTATCCATATTAAATTTCTTAATGAATAGCTGATTTCCCCTCAAAAAGAAAATAGCTTTGGTTTTTTTCTAATTATAAAACAAATAATGATGCAGTTTAAAAATGGCTAAGTGAAAATCTTTTTGCTTCACCTTTCTCTCAGAAGTCAGTCCAAAACAAGGGAAAAGGAGCAATAAAAACACAAATCTCATCTTCAATGAAACTATCACATATCTATAACCTGAGTGACAGAATAAAAGGAGTGAAAGCCAACAGAGGAGCAATGACTGACCCAGCAGTGCAGAGGCTGGTGACACCAGGCACTGAGGCAGTGCTGGTGAGAAGGCAGCAGAGCAGGCAGAGTCCAGGCCACTCAGAGGCACGGATTCTACAGGAAGTATGCATGGCGGACAGGTCAGGAAAACGGGGCAGCACCTTGACAATCTGCGTTAGGGAAGATGGATCTCTCTGGTTCTTACTCTCATACTCAGAGGAGACAGGATTTTATTATTTGCAGAAATTGAACCAGAAAGGCTCAAAACTTTGGAAACCAGGCATTACTAGGATAGATAGGAGGCCTGGGACCAAAATCAGAAAGTTCCCTGCTCCATTCTTTCATCCGGCTTGCAGAATTCCAGTGGTCAAACTTATACCTCCCTAACACGAGATTGGACAATACTAAACTGGAGAAACAGAATAACCAAAGAGAAAAGATCTATAGATTCTGGTAACTGGAAATCCTCCAATAAAAAGCTGGAGGGCCACCCAGGCATTCTGTGAGGCTCATCCATCCATAAGCCATGACTACTTACACATACTTTCAGACAGCACTGTTGTGCTTCATTTACTCTAGATTATGACAGGTTACTAGACTTTTGAGGAAAGCCTTTAAAATAAATAAGTTACTAAAACACAAAGAACTTGGAGGAAAAAATTAACCATGAAAGTAATAAGAAATAAAATAATTTTGTACTAGCCATATGACCTTAAAACCTCAGTTTCTTCATTTGTAAAATGGAGACATTGATGCTATATATTTCATTAGGCTGGTAGGAATTAAAAGAAATAAGGTATGTAAAATACATATGTAGCTCAGATTCCAAATGGAGCAAGTATACAATAAAGGTTAACATATTCTTTTTAAAAAAAGAAACAGATATTACATATGTTGTTTTATTATAGCATCCAAGACAGTTTTATAGAAATAGTTCATAAGTAAAGAAATCACTGAAATACCTCTGTCTCTAGCCCAATGCTAACTATAAATTTATGAGCATATGTAACTTTCAGGATGATAGCTAATCTTCCAAAATAAAAAAGGATTAATAAGCTAGACATAGCTAAAACTCAACAGATTATGAAGCTTAGAACAATTTGACATTTTCCACCAGAGAACTGACTTCCAGCCTCACTCAAAACAAGTTTAAATGCTAACATAACAGATTTACTTTGGCAAGGCTTACCAACCTGTACATAATAGGAGTAATCAATCAAGTATCTCTGGATTTTAGGTTAATTGTCCTTACATATACTAATGCTACAGGTATCCAAAAAATAAAGTGAAAAATACCATTGTCCTAGATGACTTTTCCATACATTTACCCGTACTTAAAGAGTTAATGCACAGAAAATCTTCTGACTGGTTATCTTTTGGTATCTAAGCATTATAGCCTTATATAAATTTTACATAGCTATTCTTTTGACAGAAGACTCAGTTCATGCTTCAGAAGTTCCACTTTTTATAAATTGTTACGGAAAAAGAAACATTTGGTAAAATATACCATATCAATGGGTTTCCCTTGTAGCTCAGCGGGTAGAGAATCTGCCTGCAGTGCAGGAGACCCAGGTTCGGCCCTTGGGTCGGGAAGATCCCCTGCAGAAGGAAATGGCAACCTACTCCAGTATCCTTGCCTAGAAAATCTCATGGACACAGGAGCCTGGTGGGCTGCAGTCCATGGGGTCGCAAAGAGTTGGGCACAACTGAGCGACTAACACTTCCTTACTTACCATATCAATAATATTGGCCAGAATGTCACTTAATGTTGTAGTCTTCAAAGTAGAAAGAAAATTTAACTTCTATTTATACTTGTCTAAAAATTAGAAAACTATTAATATTGAATATGATTGGCAATGTTCCCATTACTCATTGTGAGATGGTTACCTGTCTGATGAGGTGCTGTTCCAGGAGGAGGAGTGGGAGCTCCAAAAAGCTAAGTACTTGATGACAACCCTCTCCATTTCTTTGTGCACTTTTAGTGGATCACAACTGCTTCCACATTATTGGAATACATTTGTGGATTATATCATCTTACATATGAGACTCTGTACAATACTTTGTGAATAGACATGGCCATGGAAATTCTATAACACAAAGTTTGCTAGTTATCTCAGGGCAGAATTCCATCGCTCAGTCATTTCCAACTCTTTGTGACCCCATGGACTACAGCACACCAGGCTTCCCTGTCCTTCACCATCTCCCAGAGCTTGCTCAAACTCATGTCCACCAAGTCAGTGATGCCATCCAACCATCGTGTCCTCTGTCGTCCCCTTCTCCTCCTGCCTTCAATCTTTCCCAGCATCAGGGTCTTTTCTAATGAGTCGGCTTTTTCTTGCATCAGGTGGCCAAGTAGCGGAGCTTTAGCTTCAGCATCAGTTCTTCCAGTGAATATTCAGGACTGATTTCCTTTAGGAATGACTGGTTTGATCTCTTTGCAGTACAAGAGACTCCCAAGAGTCTTCTCCAACACCACAGTTCAAAAGCATCAATTCATCAGCATTCAGCCTTCTTTGTGGTCCAACTCTCACATCCATACATGACTACTGGAAAAACCATAGCTTTGACTATACGCACTTTTGCTG